ATTTACAACATTTTATTTACAAATATAGAACGTAAAGCTGTACGAATGCTGCTCGTTTGACCAAGCTAATGATTTGAAACGTTTACTGACGGAACGATATTTCGATGAGTTTAGCTTCTTCGGAGCCTGAAGTAATGGAAATCGACCCATAAGTTATGAGGGTGAGAGATATCCAGTAGAATAGCTTTTGGATCGACTTCCATCTTTCAAGGTCCGAAAAAGTGAACTCACCAAAATGTCAGCCAGTAAATCAACTTTGGCTTCAGTCTCGAACCGTTGCGGGTGCGAGTACTGCCGCTGAACCTGCACCATTCCTACTTCACAGAAATGAGGCTGCCTGAGAGGAGAACTTGGCAAATACGGAGAGTTATGGCAAATGGGTATGGATTACATATTGATGCTACCAAGCGACCCCTTGAAAAGCAGCAACCTGACACAATAAAAGGTCAGTATCCAGAAGCAAAAAGGAGAACAGTGATGTACACAGTTAAGGAATAAAAGGGGACAGGGCAGCACAGCATTGCGATGTATGTAATGTGACCCCAAGCCAACGTACTCCTTTGTCGTCTCTTTTCCTTTACCAACCCACTACCCGACCTGTCATCACCCTAAGTTTTCACAACTTCCTACTCTCCTTCCCAGTTGTCCAGGAGACTTCCCAGATTTTTCTTTCGTAAAGAAGGTCGCCCAGCTGGCCTGGGGAGGGGCACGCCGTATGCTGGGGGTCCACAGCGGGGAAGGTCGCATTTGGCCTCAAGGAAATATTCCTTAACAGTTGATTTACCTGCTTTACCAACTACCCATAACATGGGAGACATAATTGCTCACCCTTCTAGAGGAGGGAGGACGTATTAGAGGAGGAGATTTACTTTGGCGGAGGTCGTTCCACAAATTTTCCCAGTGACCGTCACCGAACAACTACGGATTTCAAGTATCGTGTAGTAGCTGATTAATAATTCTGCGCGTTCTCCCCCAATCTAGGAGGAGAACGTTCTCTCGCAGCTCGGAAAAACCCTGCCAAGGCCAGATACTACCCATCACCATACACTACAGCTCCTAGCGAGAAGGTACGGCCCTCCGATAAGATTCTTCCCACAATGCTGTTTCTATCAGGGAACAGTGGTCTGCTAAAACAGTACAGTACTAATTCCCTGAATGCGTATGTATAGCTATGATCGACTGTGGCATTGCCCTGTCAAACCAAATCAAGTAGAGCTTGACGAGAGACGACCCACCTTTGAACATATACGGTATCGCCCTGAGCAGAAAACGTCTTTGCAGTAGTTCTCTCTGGATCAATGACCCTGGCACCGTCTCGCTTACGTAGAGGCATACGAATAAGTAAACAGTCACTGATCATTGCCATCTGAACATGTAATCACTAAGGAGTGCTCATGACTTCACCCGATCGGCATAATCCGGCGACTTATCGAGAATGAAGCGCCGTCAAATTGTTAGCATCACTTGTAGAAAAAGACAGCATTTAGTTTCGTCAAACAGCATACCTTAGCCACAATTACAGTAGTATGTGTACAACGGTTTCACGAAGTACTCCTCGCGATCATCGATATCAACAAGCCGCGACTCTCCCTGAATACGATAATATCTGATGGCGAGTGAAGCTTGAAAAAAAAACAAATGGTAAATGATAAAGTGGAAACATTCTTACGTTCTTTACCTCTTCTCCTCAACGTGGGAAGATTTCCTGAGCGCCATCATTACCAACCACATCACGCCATTTTGCTGAAACCTCCACTAAATCCATTTCATCCATTTAAATGCAAGCAAGCCACTTGTCCGAGCAAAAAAAGGAAAACGAACAACAGTAAAATACACCAAGAAAAAAAAACAAACAGGTTCAAGTGCGAAGGAAGTTCCCAATTATGTTTAAGTTGATAACTGGCTTTTTTCCATGTTTGCGATCAAATTAACAGACAGAACCGAATAAAACTACCCAAGTCATCAGGAGAAAAAATGTAGGAATACACCATTCGAAAAATCAGGACGTCCTCGCAGGGTTTCTGTGTATTTCCGCATCAATACATGTCATCCACGTCGAGAAACAGTTTTTGAATTGCCCGAAAATAGCCGGGCTTTCAAAATGGGCCATTTTAAGTTCTTAGAGGGCGAACTCTTCTCATGATGGTGAAAAACCACTGTTCCACGAAGAGAGTTGTCGCCCTTCCTAAGATTTCATTATACCTGCTATACCAATCCCATTCTCAACGAAAATCTTTTCCTACCTACGGCTCTCCCTCAAATCCGTCCATATTTCTGAAAAAATTGAACAAGGTCCTGTATGGCTGTAATATTTTATAGGTTTGCGCTTTGCAATAGCGCGAATGCCCTCGGTATCAACCAAGACATTCTCTAAGTGGCACCGCATTGACTAGCCCGAACCATTCTTCTTCTCCTTTTCCTGGTCCAACCACATCTCCAGAAAAATGCGACCAACTGGTTCCTCACTGCCTTCTTTACTTTCGCAGTATGTTCTCGTTATTGAACTATAGTATGGCACTTATGTAGTCGAGGAAGGGTGGGGAAGGCGGGCACCACTTATTCTTTCTATTACTTGTTTTCAGTTGATCTAATTTATTTATCCCAAGACGTCCGGACTCTACACCCCGTATCCCTTCCTCTAATCAAGGCTTAGATTTTAGTGGAGGCCATGTCTCTTCTACTGGACTACCTCTCGGCATTTCTGGTTGGAGTTGTTTTACTGATAAGCGTTTAAGCGTAATTACATAGGAAGAAATACAAAAACACCAGCAGAGCACAGACGTCCGGTTCGCCTCTTCCCGGATGAGCCGTCCTTACTTAAGCCGTTTTGAGGAAGATGTATATACCATTTTCACTTTAAATTCACCACTTTTCAAACCAAATTCACCACTCTTTTTAGACCGGGCAGTTCACCAACCAGATCACGCCAGACACCACTGCGAACCCTGCCCCGACGGTCACGCCTACTTGTCAGCGCGGACATAGATTTTCAACACATGGCCGACTCCGCCCAGTCTTCGAAGGGTTTGTTGCGAACTTCGAAATTTCATAACTTTTTCAACTTTTTAATTTCACATCCTCTTTGCGCAACGAAGATACTCGTAACCGCGCATTCATGCTCCGGCAATTCAGGCTCCGCCCCTTGGCCACGCCCACTTGCTTTTTGCGGAATTTTGATATTTTTTCAAAATTTTTGCATTTTTGGACTGCTCCACGAAGCCCCGCCCACTGAGAGAGGCTCCGCCCACTTTGAAGAAGCCCCGCCCACTTTTCAAAAATGGTGCAAATCGGCAGTATAGAGCCTTGGCTTGCATGCTAGGGTCTCGTCCGTCACGTGTTCCGAGTGACGGAAGAGACCCTAGCATGCAAGCCAAGGCTTTATGTGGGCGATTTGCACCGTTTTTGAAAAGTGGACGGGGCTCCTTAATAGGGGGCGGAGCCTCTCTCATGTCAGTGGGCGGGGCTTCGTGGAGCAATCCAAAAATGCAAAAATTTTGAAAAAAAGAACTATCAAAATTTCGCAAAAAGCGACTGGGCGTGGCTAAGAGGCGGAGCCTGAATTGCCGGAGCATGAATGCGCGGTTACGAGTATCTTCGCTGTGCAAAGAGTGGATGTGAAATTAAAAAGTTGAAAAAGTTATGAAATTTCGAAGTTTGCAACAAAACCCTTTAAAGACTGGGCGGAGTCGGCCATGTGTTGAAAATCTATGTCCGCGCTGACAAGTAGGCGTGACCGTCGGGGCAGGGTTCGCAGTGGTGTCTGGCGTGATCCCCGGTCTAAAAAGAGTGGTGAATTTGGTTTGAAAAGTGGTGAATTTGTTTGAAAAGTGGTGAATTTGGTTTGAAAAGTGGTGAATTCCAAAGTGAAAATGGTATATACGGGCGCAGCCAAGTGGTCCTACGTTAGCACCTCATTTCTTTGGCCGAAAGTGTCGAAATACTCTATAGTTTCTATAGTGTCTCAATTGCTCGGTTTCTAGTGTTCCATCTTGTTGCGACTCTGAACGATGCTTCTGAGTGATTGTAAGCAATACTTCAACACTGAGGATTTGTATGAGATCCTACGCGTCGACAGGACAGCAACAGTATCCCAAAGTGAGCTTCCATTTGAAGTTACTCTGCTGCTACTGTTTGTTACCTTATTGTTTTCAGTCAAGAAGGCTTATTATAAGCAGTCCATGAAATGGCATCCCGATAAGGCTGATTCTGCTGAAGACGCAGCGAAGGATGCTACCGCAAAATTTCAGAT